GGGGTCATTTACATCAGCAGCCCAATGCAATGGCTTCAGTTCGCAGTGCGCTGAGAAAAAACAAATGCAATGCATTTTTTGCGTAGCGCGTTTCACTGTAACGCGTCACAACGCGCCGCGATGCATAGTAATAGCAAAGCCAAAAAAAAATCGGTACAGAAAACTCACAACACGCGTGTGCATAGGCGCATAGCAGCACGTGCACGTTAAAAGCATGCTAATGCGTGCGTTACGCTGTTAAAAAGTGGCAAAGAATGCGTTACTTGTGTTAGTTCTGAATGGCACCCCCAACGCACCTTGCCGATGGGTGCGCCTTGCAGCGCTACGTGCGGCAAGGTATTATAGCGAAGTGTACGGCCAGAAATGGTACATGGAATTTTTTTTGGGGTGCCCAATTGACCTAAAGGGTCTGGTAGGAATGTTAGGAGGGACCCCCCCCCCAAAGGGAAGACACAAAATGTGCATGGGGTTCCCCCAAAAATCCTACCAGGCCCTTTAGGTCTGGTAGGAATTTTAAGGGGGAACCCCACCCCTAAAAAATGGGGCCCCCCCCCTAAAATTCCTACCAGACTCTTGATCTGAGCACAGGCTGGAGAGGGCAGGAAAGGGGACACACACACACGATTGAGCGCACCCTCCCTCCCTACGCCTTACCAGGCCACGTGCCCTCGGCATTGGGAGGGTGTGCCCATGCCGATGGGGACAAGGGCCTCTTCCCCACAACCCTGACCCAATGGTTGTGGGGATCTGCGGGCAGGGGGGCTTATTTGCATTGGGGTACCCCTTTAATTAAGGGGGTACCCAGATGCCGCCCCCCTTATGAATGATTCTTTGGAGGGACACAACAGACATCTGGTATATGCCCTGCCTCTGGGAGGTTGGGCACTGTGAAGAGCGCCCTTACTAATGGGCTATACCTTCCTCTAGCCCAGGTAAGCTTAGTGTCCTTAGGGGGTAAGACGTCTCTGCCCAACTGTGATTTCTGTCAGGAGCTGCTAACAGTGTCCAACCGGACCCCCAGCCCTGGAGAATTACAGCAGTAGCCCCATTCAAAGGTTGTTTTATATCTTTGTACACAACCTTTGTTCTACAAAAAAAAGTTGATACATGACAAAGGATCCCCAGAGCACTATGGGTTAACATTTGGGTTTGCCATGAAGTGTACAGCTCCGCCTACTGTCCATTTATGAAAATACAGGTAGGCTACACGTATGCAATGTTCTTTGAATAGAAGACAAATGATTCTCACAGCACCATGGGCTAACTAAGGAAACAGCAAGGGGTAAGCTCAGAATCCGACTGGACCTGGTCCAAACCTGAGCCCTTCTGAAGGAGCTTCTCCAAAATGGAAAAAAAAAAGTCTCCTTCCCCAGAAATTCACATAGGCAAAGGGGCGGGGTGCAGTGATGTCATTGACCTAATATGGCCACATAGCTATATATATGGTAAAGTACATAACCATATATGGTCATGTGTCCATATAAGGTAAATGATGTCAAGCACAAGCAACCTGCCCCTTTGTTTATGTGCTGCTGCTGCAGGACGGGGAATGCCCCCACCCATAGTTGATGGGTGGGTAGCCCATGGCACTTCCTTGTTCGGAGGGGCTCAGGTTTTTTTGCACATTAGTATTTTGTTTTCTTACGTTCAGACAGTAGGCGGAGCTCTTGACTTCCTTTCACATGTTTGTTAGTTTTCTCTTACTTTCCTTTTATATATATATATACAGTATATATATATATATAAATAAATAAAAACAAGTTGTTTACAGAGCTCAATAGCTCAAGCAAAAATTTACACCCAGAACTGAATGAGTCAGAGACGTGACTCTTTCCACCTTCTCCTCTTTCAGTCCGATGATTCAGTTAGAGACAGAGAGTCTGAAAGCAAACATCTACTACTGTGCTCTCTCTTTAGCTAGCCCACTGTGCTGTGGGATTCCTGCGTCATGTGCTGATTGCATATTTGCAAAATAAAGATTGACTTCTTCCCCGCTGCAGAGCAGGGAGGATTCCAAAATAGTGCTGGAGTCTCCGGATCTATCCAAAGTGTCAGTCGGCAACAGAGAGTCTGAAAGGGAGCTACTCCTGCTGTGCTCTCTCCGTAGATAGCCCATAGTGTTCGGGGGATCCTTTGTCATGTATTAAATTTTATGTTATCAACAAGATTACCTATACACAGGGCCGGTGCTAGACTATTTCGCACCCTAGGCAAGACCAGCTACTTGCACCCCCCAGAGCCCCTCCTGCAGCGCAACCCACAATCCCCCCTGGCCCCATTCTCCTGCCGGCTAGCTTCTCCAGGCAACAAGTGGATGTAAGCAGTCGGGAGCAAAAGCGGCACTGCTATTGGCTATTTTAATTTGAAATAGCCAATAGCAGACGGGTTATTGAAACCCCACCCACTGAGTAGAAGAGCGGACCTGAGAGAGAACGATGTCTCTCAGTTCCACTCCTCTGCTCAGTGGGCGGGTGCAATGGCCAGCCTGCTATTGGCTTTTGCAATTTGAAATAGCCGGGGGAGCGGGGTTAGTGGTCGAGGCTGCGGCCTAGGCAGCAGTGCGCCCTAGGCGGCTGCCTAGTTGGCCTAGTGGCAGCACTGGCCCTGCTTATATACAATCTTGTTTTAGTTTTACATCCCTGAAACAAAGATTTTGTTATTAATTCGACTATCGTTCAAAATCATTGAGCAGCATGTCTGAGCGCCGCGATTTTGGCAGGATGGTGGTGACTCGTGCAGGATAACCATGACTCCAGCAGACACAATAAGCGGTGTCGGGGATGAAGGGCAATGACCGGGATGCAGTTGAGCCGATGTCCGGCACTTTTTATTGCATAAAATGACAGCAGCGATGTCACCACAAGAGGCTCCAGGTCAGCACGATGGAAAGAGATTAGAGCCGGCTGTGATTGACACATGCAAGTCCATAGAAGGGACAGTGTATACCGTGCAGGGTCAAGCTGGTTTACCAGGGGGGAGGGAGGGGGGTGGGGAGCAGAAGCACCTATAGCCATGAAGGTGAAGCTCAAGGAGAGGGAGGAGAGTTCATATATTGGGGGGGGTAGAAAGTGAGTCACAGCCGCATAGCGACCATTGATAGTTCAGGATTAGATAGTAAGAGGATAACTCAGACATAAGAGGACAAGAGGAGATGTGATTGTGAAGAGTGTCAAGCTGTCAGGCAAAACCAATGTAGTAAGGTTTGTTACATCCGTCTCACTTTTAAGTCGCTGTTTGTTTGTATGTTTTTTTTTATATTGTATATATAATACTAATGCACCCCATTCTACACAAAGTACCCCCTCTTTTACCCTCCACACTCCTCTCCTGTACATACTGCCCCCTGTC